TGTGTGTGTGTGTGTGGCCAGCTCAGCCCACCAGGGGGCGGGGCTGGCTGGCTTGTGGTGCTGGGGGATTGAACCGTGGTCCCTGTGCTTTGCTAAGTAGGTGCTTTAGACCACTGAGCCATCTCACCAGCCCCTTCATTTATGTTTGTAAATAATTTATTTTCAATTTGCAATCTATTAAAAAATTAAAATTAAAAAAAGAAGTAAAAGAAGCCCTAAATAAGTGGAATGACATCTCACACTTGTGAACAGGAAAACTTAATATAGTTTATATGAGGATTTTATGTAACTGTTAGTTAATGCAATCTCTAATACATTCCTAACAGCCTTTTATGTAAAAAATAAAAGAGCTGACCTAAAATTTATATGTAACTAGATACCTCAAACAGCTAAAACAAACTTTAAAAAAAGAATAAAGTTGAAATTCATTCTTTTCTACTACAAAGTTTACCACATAGCTACAGTAATCAAAACAGTGGATATTGTCACAGGATAAACATATAGATCAATGGAATAAAACAAGTATTATTTATAATGAAACACATGGAAATAAAGTCATACATCCATGGTCCATTATTCTGAGAGGGATACCAAGTTAATTCAATAGAAGAAAGAACAGTATTTAAATAGACATGCTGGAACATTTCTGCATGCAAAAGAATAAAGTTGGAAATTTGCTTCTCAGCGTATATTAAAAGAAACTCAAAATGGACTGCAGACCTAAATGTGGACGCTAAAAGAAAAGCCTTTGGAGAAAATAGGGCTACGTCTTCATGGACTTGGATATGGCCATTGGTCCTTAGATATGATTCCAAATGCACAAGCAATGAGCAAAACAATGAACAAATTAGCATTCATCAAAAGTAGAAATGTTTTTGCATCAGTGAAATCAATGAACAATATCAGGAGAACAAGCAAAAAATCCACAAAAATATTTTTTTAAAATGCAAATAATGTATCCGTTCATACTTGGTAGCCAAATACCTGTCACACAATCAAAGGAAAAACAACTTAAAATGTGGGCAACCTTCTTCTCTTGCGAAGCGCAAGCAGCGCGAGGCGACGAATTAGGTCGTTGGTCTTCTCGCTTTCATCGCTACACAGCTCCACCGCCAAGATGGTCAATGTACCTAAAGCCAGAAGGACTTCTTGTAAGAAGTGTGGCAAGCACCAGCCTCACAAAGTGACCCAGTATAAGAAGGGCAGGTATTTCCTGGATGCCCAAGGAAAGAGGTGCTACGATTGGAAGCAAAGCGGCTACGGTGGGCAGACGAAACCCATCTTCTGGAAGAAGGCTAAACGGACAAAGAAGATTGTGCTGAGGCTGGAGTGTGTGGAGCCCAACTGCAGGTCGAAGAGAATGCTGGCCGTTAAGAGATGCAAGCGCTCTGAACTGGGAGGAGACAAGAAGAGAAAGGGCCAAGTGGTCCAGCTCTAACCTC